TCAAAGTTGTCTGTTACTTAATTTGACTTAAATCGTCAAATTTGATTTTAGTGGTTTACATAACAAAAGATCTATTGAATATAGTACAAGAATGTCAATGTATACAAAATAAGCACATATTGAATCTATTGACATAAAACGTCAAATTTGACTTTAGTGGTTTTTATCAAAGATTGTAGTTTAATTATTATGAGGAAAATCTTGTCCTTCGTTAGATCCAATAACTAATATTAAATAAATTGTGTGTTATTAAAAAAAAAAGAATATTCCATGCAAGCGAAATTTCACTCAATTGAAAATAATCTCACAATAATTAAAAATAATAAATCCTAATATACTATTTTCGACACGCGTTTCTTTTTTTTTGTGTTTTAGCTACTAAACGATTTCGTACACGAAATAGATTACAAAGTGCAAAGTTTAAAACAATCGTTTCTATCCCATTTTTTGAGCAGATAAATTTTGATAAGAAAAGAAATAAATGTAATTAGTAATTATATGTTTTCTAATCGAAACCGGAAATTATTAATAATAATACACGTACCTCGTTTGTACTTCTTTTTTTATTCTTATTCTCTCAGTAGGTCAAACCTTTGCTTACATCCTGCCCGGACGCCCATTCATCATCATAATAATATTATGAATCGTTATTAATAATAATATTTGCAGTGTTCGTTATTTATATACTCGCATAAATTTGCAAACGGTACATGAAAATCATGCATCTCTTGTTGGTAAAAGGTAGATACGTACGTTCATAACTCATCCATTTGCATTATTACGTAAAGCGCGGAGATTGTTCGCTTCCTGCAGACAAATAAACAAGCACTCGAGACTATCAGAAAAAAAAAAGTAAATAAGAAGTTGAAACTAATATTTGTAGAGGCAAATATTTACAGAACGCGCTCGCTTCATCCAACTTTTATATTTACCTTTTTTGCACGCTGTAAATCCATTAAACAAGTTTAAATAGATTAGCTTTAATCAAGCGATAATCAACGTAAAATCTATGTGCTGCGCCTTGGAAACACACGCACTTCAAAAGAAATTCCGATGGAGATGGATACGTCAAGTTCTTCAGAAAGGCCACTTGAGAATCGTTGAATCCGCTAGAAAAATGTTCCAAAGATCAAGTGGATTTTTATTCTCGTTACATACACATAAGTTTAATAATTGATGATTCATTATGTAATCTCATATAAAATATTACAGAAGGTAAACTAACATCAAATTAGCATTGATTAAATGACATAAGTCAATATCGATTTCGGGCATTGTTTTTAAACAAAACACTGTCGATGAGACATTTGTTTTTCTCGATGCAAATTTCACCTGACATTGACGTTTTGTTTATAATCCTCGCGCATATGGAATACAATTAAATAATATTGGCGCGGTTCTCATCTATAATTAATGACACACGAACGATTTAAAAGTACAAATATCTACGATGATCGAAGAATCGTTTTTGTTCATTTATCAACAATACAGTATTATTCATCGGATATGTTAAGCATTGAATTAGAACGCAGAAATTTCAACGTAATGACTAAAAAAGTCTGTTCAATAAATATTTGCTTTTCAGCGTCCATCGCTGAAAAATTCTCGGAATGCTGCCACTTGGCGGACATCTATAAATATATCAATGAATAATATCGCGTTTATACACCCATTTTTTTCACACATATCTGTAAATATTTAGCAAAAAAAATAAATATATATATTATGGCGTAAGCATGTTATAAATAAACATATTTAACCTATTTAATATTAGCAATATTGCTTGCTTCAATTGCAGGAAAAAGAAGCATAGCCGAAGAGAAATCTTCTTATATTAATTAATGAGAATCGCCCCTTTCTATTATTTGCATATTATTGTTACCGGTGCATATTTTTAGGATATTTTTGTGTATATTTTTGGTGTAAACTGTAAAATTTCGAGGTCATCCAGCCAGTGAAACGTTTAGGAACGTGAGAACACGCGAATTAATTTAATTTTGAGATGAAATTTTTGATTAAATTAACGCAAAGAAATGATGGAGAAAGATAATTGTTATTAGTTTTGACCCACAATTTAATTTTGTTGCTTTGTCTTTTTAACGCTTCCGATCTTGATGTGAATTTAATTGAAAATTATAGTATTTTTACTTATACTTAATTTAATTAACTAATTGGATTTTTTTTTATTCTCACAGTTTGTTTTTTTTTTGTCATGTTGGTTATTGTTTTATATTTACATCTAGTTATTTTTTAATTCGTTAAGTTTGTCTGTAAATTATTGATTTTAAAATTTCTGGGACAGGACAGAAACGGTGAAAAAGAACAAATGATTAAACAGAACATCGGAAAAAAATATTAAAATTATATAGATAACACATCTAAATACGTAAACATATAATGAATTTTATATTCAATCTTTGTCAATTCTTTGTCAGTTGTATTTTGCTTGAATTTTGATATTTTTTTCCGATGTTCTGTTTAGTCATTTGTTCTTTTTTAGTGCTGTCCTGTTTTGTCCGGCAGAAACACATCGGTTGAAATGATAATTTGGTATTTATTAATGTTTACAGACTAATTTTAATGTTTTTGTTTCATTATGAATATAAATTAAATCTAGTTATTTTTAGTTCATCAAGTTTTTCACTAAGTGGTATATAAAATCGAAATATTATTTTTGTTTTTAAATTAATTGAATATTTCAACTCAAGTAAATGCATTGCTTTTTAAATTATTTATTTATATATTGATTTTCATGTTTTTTTCTTTGTAGCTGACGTGTATCTAGTTATTTTTATTTATGAGGTTGGGCACCAGGTCAATTGTTTCTAATTTATTTTGAATTAACGTCAGACTTAAATCGAGTGTAATATTAATTGATTATCTTTGTTTCTGTTGCAGATTTGTGTTATTTTTGTGTATATTTTTGGTGTAAATTGTAAAATTTCGAGGTCATCGAGCCAATGAAACGTTTAGGAACGTGAGAACACGCGAATTAATTTAATTTTGAGAAGAAATTTTTGATTAAATTAACGCAAAGAAATGATGGAGAAAGATTATTGTTATTAGTTTTGACCCACAATTTAATTTTGTTGCTTTGTCTTTTTAACACTTCCGATCTTGATGTGAATTTAATTGAAAATTATAGTATTTTTACTTATATTTAAATTAATTACATAATTGGGTTTTTTTTTATTCTCACAGTTTATTTTTATTTGTCATGTTGTTTATTGTTTTATATTTACATCTAGTTATTTTTTTCATTCGTTAAGTTTGTCTGTAAATGTATTGATTTTAACATTTATGGGACATAGGATAGAAACGGTGAAAAATTACGCCAAAAAAGAACAAATGACTAAACAGAACATCGGAAAAAATATTAAAATTATATAGATAACACATCTAAATACGTAAACATATAATGAATTTTATATTCAATCTTCGTCAATTATTTATTTCTATTTTGCTTGAACTTTGATAATTTTTTCCGATGTTCTATTTTGTCACTATTCTTTTTTAGTGCTGTCCTGTTTTGTCCGGCAGAATCACATCGGTTGAAATGATAATTTGGTATTTATTAATGTTTACAGACTAATTTTAATGTTTTTGTTTCACTATGAATATAAATTAAATCTAGTTATTAATTTTTTTTCTGGTGGAAACCGGATTAGTTATTTTTAGTTCATCAAGTTTTTCACTAGGTGGTATATAAAATCGAAATATTATTTTTGTTTTTAAATTAATTGAATATTTCAACTCAAGTAAATCTATTGCTTTTTAAATTATATATTTATATATTGATTTTCATGTTTTTTTTTTGTAGCTGACGTGTATCTAGTTATTTTTATTTGTGAGGTTGGGCACCAGGTCAATTGTTTCTAATTTATTTTGAATTAACGTCAGACTTAAATCGAGTGAAATATTAATTGATTATTTTCTTTTCTTTTGCAGATTTGTGTTATTTTTGTGTATATTTTTGGTGTAAATTGTAAAATTTCGAGGTCATCGAGCAAATAAAACGTTTAGGAACGTGAGAACACGCGAATTAATTTTATTTTGAGAAGAAAACATTTTTTTTTTGATTAAATTAACGCAAAGAATTGGTGGAGAAATATTATTAGTTTTGACCCACAATTTAATTTTGTTGCTTTGTCTTTTTAACACTTCCGATCTTGATGTGAATTTAATTGAAAATTATAGTATTACTTATACTTAATTTAATTAACTAATTGGATATTTTTTATTCTCACAGTTTATTTTTATTTGCCATGTTGGTTATTGTTTTATATTTAAAACTAGTTATTTTTTCATTCGTTAAGTTTGTCTGTAAATGTATTGATTTTAACATTTCTGGGACATAGGACAGAAACGGTGAAAAAATACGCCAAAAAAGAACAAATGATTAAACAGAACACCGGAAAAAAATATTAAAATTATATAGATAACACATCTAAATACATAAATATATAATGAATTTTATATTCAATCTTCATCAATTGTTTATTTCTATTTTGCTTGAACTTTAATATTTTTTTCCGATGTTCTGTTTAGTCATTTGTTCTTTTTTAGTGCTGTCCTGTTTTGTCCAGCAGAAACACATCGGTTGAAATGATAATTTGGTATTTATTAATGTTTACAGACTAATTTTAATGTTTTTGTTTCATTATGAATATAAATTAAATCTAGTTATTAATTTTTTTTCTGGTGGAAACCGGATTAGTTATTTTTAGTTCATAAAGTTTTTCACTAAGTGGTATATAAAATGGAAATATTATTTGTGTTTTTAAATTAATTGAATATTTCAACTCAAGTAAATGTATTGCTTTTTAAATTATATATTTATATATTGATTTTCATGTTTTTTTTTCTTTGTAGCTGACGTGTATCTAGTTATTTTTATTTGTGAGGTTGGGCACCAGGTCAATTGTTTCTAATTTATTTTCAATCAACGTCAGACTTAAATCGAGTGAAATATTAATTGATTATCTTCGTTTCTGTTGCAGATTTGTGTTGTTCAAGAAGCACTACGACAAGTATCTGGATTTGTCGCAGAAGTACGAGGAGACGCGGAACATCGCGTACTACTTGGAGGAGAAATACCACGAAGTTAAGGTACCGTGACCGGAATGTTCTCTTCTTCTGATCGTAGTTCGACGTTCTTCATCAAGTAGCCCCGATTTAACGTTTGTTCTTTTCTTTTTGTAGACTGAGAGAGATTATTTGATCCAACAAAGGGAGCAACTGTCGCGGAAGCTGGAGTCGAACGAGTGTCTGCTTAAGGAGAAAGAAGACGAGGTGTTCGAGCAGACCGAGAAAGTCCTGTATTTGGATGAGCAATGCAACAAGGTATACACATATATATATAGATATAAGACAGTCTTAATTGGATCGGAAAACCACCAAATTCGGTTTAACCGTTCGATAAAATTAATTGCGATTAATTAAAGATGCGAGGAGCGTCTGATTTTTCGGCAATTTTCGAAATCGAATCCGGAAGCGAACGTGTAGCCGCGTATAAATCGAATACTTGTGCGAAATATTAAACAGTTGAAATATTAATTACATGAAATCGAGACGACTTGGATCTATCTAATAATAATAATATTACTTTCCGGTCGGTTGTGTTTCACGTGACCTAGAGCTTAATTGGAGTTTAAAAAATTCATGGAAAATTCGATTCGTGATCTTAACAATCGGAGCTTCATCTGCAGGTGAAAGGGGGCAGCGTGAATTTATCATCATCATCATCATAAAATATTCGAGAAAGTCTATAATTCGATTATGATTATTTTTTCTTCTTCTTCTCGCTGCGTTATTGTGTTTCCGAGTTCTAAAACTCGCAACGTGAATCGATTTAGAAGACGAAAATAACCGGCAATTAACGAACGATACATATCTTAAGACTATAATTAATTTAGCTCTGGTATTGTCTTTATTTATTGCTGATTTCAAAAGTGGAAGGTCGAAAAGATTAAATCTTCGGAGTAAAAATAAAAAAGAGCAAAGTTTCGTTGGCCAATTGCCCGAAAGAACTATGTTGAACAAAAAAAATTTAGATATATATATTTAAAAGAAAAATATAATACGTTTATATGCATATTTATATTTAAATATTGTTGCGTGACAACAAACGCTGGTCAATATATGCAAATAGCAATGTTTCAAATTGCAGCAAGGTCTGAACGATTTTTTTTTTCATAATCGAGACTAAATCTGTTACTATTTGGCAAAAACTCAACCTTGCGCTAGAAAATGTTACGTTTCTACATATTTATTTTTTTTAGTTTAAAAAGAACATATTGCACTCAGGGCTGTGCAGAGATGATGGCGAAATGAATTTCCCTTTTAGGAAACATCTTTTGAATTGCGTTTTGCAGTCCTTTTTGCTGCTCATCTCTCGCTCAGTCATTTCCTTTTCGCAGCGTCAATGGCGCTTCTTTGTGCATGTTGAAAATGTAAAACGACGACGGCGGACGTCGTCTTCCTGCGCTTCGAGCTATTCAAACAATATGAATAGCTGTTGCCTCTGGGACTTTGCTAATTGAATATCATACCATCATCATGTTGCTTACTTAGAGCGAGCCATTGCTCTAAGCGTTTAATTAGTTTTGTTTTCTTATTTCTTTTATTAATAATTATATGAAAAGGTAATTTTTTACTGTTATGTGTATTAAATTAAGTAATACAGGTGTTGTTCATCAAGGACCAATGATTATAAACGTCTAGTTATGTAGATTTATAGTCACAATACATATTTGCGTGACTCGCGAGGCCATTTTGCTAGTATTTACTTCCAAAGATTTCACTCTTCATTCCTAGTTTTTATTACGATTTATTTAAGACTAGAACCTTTTGATCACTAGATAATCAGTAACGTTAATCTCTAGATTCACAAATTAATTAGATTTTGTTTTATCACAACAATTAAATAAAATATTGATTATAGATTTTGATGAAAAAAAAATCAACGATAAAACGATGGTCGAGTTATTTTTAAGCACAATGGAATATTTGTTTTAAATCTGTATCATCGGAAATGTGTTAATTACATCAAACGTCCAATTAAAGAATTTAAGTAATAAATTTCGGTTTTTTTTAGAATTTACAACAGTTTCTCAATAGATTTTCTCTTGATCTAGTTTAAATTTTTTTGACCCAGACATAATTATTAATTGCTTTGTTTGAATATTTGAATGCAATCTAATAGTTTTTTTTTTGAACTAATTTATCTTAAATTAATGCACGTTAATTTGAATGACAAATTTGTTAAATTCGCTAGTTAAAAATGTTTATTGTTTTTTAGTATTTAGAAAATCTATACATAAGTTCATATTATAACATAAAAAAATTCAATTTTCACATTTCTATTGAATGCTATTATAAACTTAACATCATTTTGGAATGGAAATTATATTATAATTAATGATTAAAAACTAATAATATCAGTAATTAATTTTGAAGAAAATGAACACAAATTTTCTTCAAAATTAATTACTGATATTATTAGACGAATATCTCAAATTTCTTGTAATCATGCTGCAGCTTCCAATCAAACTCGTGACTCGGGTATAAAAATATGAGTAGAAAGAAGACCGTCGTTCATTAAAAAAATGATGTGTACTCTTCAGACAACCACAAATTTCAATTAAAACCTCACGTCCTAAATACGAATGTTAATAATCGAGTCCGGGCATAAAAGGAAACTCTCGCGAAAGTTCTCTATTTTAATGAATTTATGCGTTTCCATCGAATTACTACATTCAATTATTGGCCGGTTTCTCAGAAAACTGCAAACAAAGTATTGTTAACTTGTAAAGTTCTTACTTGTCCTGCATTGTTACGTGCGGATAATTGTAAATGGGGATTTGCTAATAAGGTATATCGGTTCTTCGGCGCGCGAACGTCGCATACAAATCGCTCAATATTTCAGCAATTTGCATGTCGAAAATGGGACGTTCAACCTTGCTTGATTATTGATGTTCGCGCGCTGAAAGCATTCATTTTTGCACTTGTGAATTGATTCTGAATTTTTGTTTCGTTTGTGTGTTTCAGTTGCGAATGGAAAAGGAGAAATACGTCCAGCAGAAATTGCAGATAGAGAAGGAGAGAGATGAAGCCCTGAGACTGGTAGGTTGATGCAGCCGAGCGATCGCCGCGTTCCGGTCTAGTGGTCATCCACTGAAGCCTTCCATTGCAGTCCTTTTATTTTTTTATTGTCGTCATTGTTATTATTTCTATGTTACTTTGTCTAGTTTTTGTTTCCTCTTTGCTATTGTTTCCAAATCAATTGGATGCGATGTGGTAAAGGTAAAGGGGATGGAAGAAAAGGAGGTCTTAACTAATCGATTTGATTGCAGCTGAAGGAGCAGGCCAGGGAATCCGAGTCGAACCGCAGAAAGTTGGAACGCGCCAGGCAGGAAGTGTTCAGGCACATGACCAAGATCAAGAACGAGAAGGAATCTCTGGAAAGGGAGGTGAGTTAACACGCACAAGAAATACGAAAACGGCAGGGCGCAACTTAAACCTTTCTGCTGTTAAACGAATTCCTACCTCCGATGAAACAACAATTATTTCGTATTTCGAAGACCGCAAACAACAACACAATCGTCCTTGGCTTTGAAGCATCTATTTTGATGTCGAAACGTGTACTCTTTGTCGAAGCAAATTGGAAACAACGAGCGGAACTAATCCAGAAAATATGTTAATCGATATTGAGCAATACTGTTACATCATTTTTCTCTCAGGTTTTTTTTTTTGTGTTGTTGTTGCCTCCATCTAGAAACTATAATACCAAATAAATCAAGAGTAGTTCTAACTTAAGAGGAACGAGGACGTGGCTCGCGGGTCACGAGTCCGTTGGCCATTTCGTCCTTCAAGTCTTAACCACTTGAATGTTGCGTACGCGTACGCACTGCAATAATTAAGCGTGATGGCTTCAATTAATCGCGGAAATTTTACATGTACATTACGCATTGAAAAGTTAAATTATTTTTCCCTCTCGGCGATGGAACGTAACGTTTATAAATATACTGCACAAACTTGATATGCAAGTTGTTGAGAGTGGAGACAAACAAAGAGGTAAAGAGGCGGTGGAGGAGGAGGAGTTGCGGAGTCATTCTGCGGTCGGATGAAATGGAAGTTCGAAACGCAATTAAGCGCATACCGGAGGTATGCAGGCATAACGCGAAATGGCGGATGAAAAATAGAATAGAATGAAACAAGATTCGTTTGGGAAGAAGAGTGCATGTGTGTGTATGCGTATAATAAGTGGCATCCTGTATTTAATTTGCGTCGCTCGCAAATGCGATCAGGATGATGAACGTTCCCCGACATTATAACGAGCCGCCGCCCCGCTTTACGTTGTTTTGCGTCGCCGTACGCTGCGAGCATGCATTCCCAATATAAATGAGCGCTCCACGGTGTCAGTGACATTGGCTATGATGACACACATTGCTCGCAAATGCTGAAGGAATATATAAAAAAAATAATAATAAAATAAAACAAATAACAAGGCGACTGGTTTCACTTTGGACATACAAATATGTTGCAACATTGAGCCTGGAGCATACATACCAAGTAGTAGATCGTGTACTTCTTTTTTTTTTTTCGTTCTCTAATTCGTTACATCATTCTCGTAATTTCTTCACCTAAAATCCTATTGTATGCTCCAAACGCAGATCACTCAAACCAAATCGTTGGATCAGAAATGTTTTCAAACTGTGTCAAAATATTTTAGAAGTAAATTTATAAATTGAATATCAGCAAGAAAACTTCTTAATTAGATGTTGAGTATAAAATGATCTTACAAACAACATCAAAGATTATTTTAAAATTTATAAAACAAAACACGTAATGCAATGATTATTAATGATTTTGTTTAATTATGTTTTTTTTCTGTTGGTGCTCAAGCAAATATTATCTTAAGAGTTGACAAATATCGAAGAGATCATAGCAATATAGCTTAAAATATTGGAAAGTCTTCCTCCTACAATTCCAGGAATCCTTATTTGTTTATAGGAAATTGTCATCAAATTTAACCCGGTTTCGCCGAAAACGGCGACGATTCGCGCACTTTTACAAACGAAATATAGAGACTATCTGTTAATAATTTATTGCATTGCATTCTGTGAATCATCACATTTGCATAAACGCATACCATTATTGAAACTGGATTTATCTCTCTCTTTCTTTTTATCTCTTCATACCTGATGTAAACAAAACCAGCGAGTTTACTTACTTCGGTCTCTGCAATTTCAAGCGCTCGATGCGATTCTCCTCCGCATTGTGGCTCGAACCGAAAATAGCCTGATCTTCTCAGAGATATTTCTTCTCAAGAAATGAATCTGCCCTTTCGTCGCTCATCCATTACAGTACCGAACAGTTATATTCCTGTATATGAACCAAAAACCGCAAAGACAATGCAACGCTCCGCCGCATTCCTCCTCGGTTTCATCTGTACCATTAAAGGTTACGCAATTCCATTAGGACTCTCTCTCTACGTGTCTCTCGGAAACCGACGTTAGTTGTAAAGTTTCTTCTACAATCCTCTCTTCTCCACTAATTAAACAAAGCGGTTGCAGTAATTGGACACATTTCGTAGCATATAATCGCTCCGCTTCTTTTTTTTTCTTTCTATTCTTTCGTTTTGTTTGTCGTATTTGCTGTGTTTTCTCTTTGTGCATTTCTAGAAAATTACAAAAAAAATAAATACGCAATTATCAGCATTAATGATGCCATTTACGTAACGCCGCGTTATTACTTTTCGTTAATTGCGCGAGCGAAAAAAAAAATGAAAATTTCATTTGTAGTCGTTTCATATTACATTTTTTGTTTTTTTGTAAATATTTAATTCGTATTGTTAAATTAATATTCTTAATGTATGAAACTTCAAGTGGAGATAATAGACAAGGTAAAAACAGTTGTTAAACAAGACGTAACAATGGAAAAACCGCATGCAAACAATGCAAGTAAGTCAATGACGGACTTTCCTCGGCATTCGTCCGCCCCAGACACGAGATTTGCCCGTTTAATTGAAGATTTTCCTTTTACTTTCCCACTGGGAACGAACCCAGGCGTTTTCCAGAGGCCACGAGGAAGAAGAAAGTCCAAATACATAAATTTCTTGAAACGTGAAATGTCCCGTTGCGAAGTGCTTTATTCCCTTCATGACGACTAGAACAAGCGGCGAAGGTGCGACCACGCATTGTTCGGGTTTCCTGGGCAAAAATGTAAGCTTGTACACTTTATTGTCTTCGGCTGCGAAGAGAGAACGGTTTTCGCCCGCACTTACCGTTCTCTGCCGTTTGCAAAGGTGTTTCTTTCTTTTATTTTTGGTGTACACTCTTAATGTGTTTCTGTGATGTCCATTACGGATTTCCCACGCCACAGTTATCAACAACCGATTCCCATTGTACATCGGAAGAGCCCACGCGCCTTTAATATTATTACGCCGAACCATCTCTGCCGAAAACCCACGCCAACTTTCTTTCATACTTTAATGCAGTGGTTTCCAAACTTGATGTTACCACGCCTCCCTCAAAAGTATGTAATCATTTGGCGCCTCGAGTAAATCAATGAAATGTGAAAACACTGCTTTTTCGAAAGTTGTAATTTAAATTTTTCAACTTTGAACGCGTATTACGGCAATATGGATAAGAGCACAGAAATGTATCTATACTTGCTGGATTCCCCAAACATTCAGCTTTAATATGCATATATTGGATTCATTCTATCTATTATAGTTTTCGAGTAAATCAATGAAATGTGAAAACACTACTTTTTCGAACGTTCTAATTTCAATTTTTAACTTTGAACGCGTATTACAGCAATATGGATAAGAGCACAGAAATGTGTCTATACTTGCTGGATTCCCCAAACATTCAGCTTTAATATGCATATATCG